ACAACAAAAGCTATTGAATTGTAAAAACTGAGAAAGAGCTCTGGAAGCTTCCAAAAGAGTGTGCAGTACACCGCCCCCTAGAGGAATACATTGCAGTTGCTTCGACTGAGTTTCATATTCAGAAATGTGAATAAATAAATTAAAAATACACAAAGTCTGACATGTCAACTTTAAAGGGTGTGTCTTGTTACTGGTTGATAGAACAACATTTACATGCTTGTCGAATGCACAGAACTATAACACAATGCACGATATTGAAATGGCAACAAATACATCTATTCATTTCTAATAAATACGCTCTTCTGCCCCAATTCTAAGGGGTGTGTCATGTTACTGGTTCATGGAACAACATTTACATGGTGGTTTTAGTCGCGAAACTGCAACACAGCAAAAGCTATTTAAATGTAAGGATTGAGCAAAAAGCTCACAAAGCCATAGATTGTGCAGTACACCGCACCCTAGAGGAACATGTTGCATTTATTAAGACTGAGTTTGACATTCAAACTTTTAATAAATTAATTTAAAATGCATACAGTTTTCCATCTCAACTTCAAAAAGTGTGTCATGTTACTGATTCCTAGAAGAACATTTTGATGGTGGTTTTAGCCACAGAACTATAATTTAACACATGCTATAGAAAATGAAACCAATACATAATTTAGTTTAAAATAAATACAATCTTCTACCTCAGCTTCAAAGGCCGTGTCTTGTTACAGATTTCTCAAAGAACATTTTCCAGTTGTTTTCATTGTCAAAAGAGATGCAGAAGTCACGCTATTGAATGCTGAGGTTAAGTATACTAAGAAAAAGTAGAAAACTGCAGTTACGCTGTTTAAAGGGTATTTTTTGAAAATATATGTTAAAGGGGTCCTATTATGCTCTTTTACAAAGTCTGTTTTGGGGGTGTACTAGAACAGGCTCTCATACTAGGTTGTTCGAAAAACACATTATTTATTATTTTTTTTACATTATTACAACACCTCTCTCCTCAGTCTGGCATGAACGGCTCGAATAGTTTCTGAATCAAATGAAGGCCCGCCTTCTGAAATACGAAATGTGCTGTGATTGGTTAGCTGGGCCAGTGTGTGTTGTGATTGGCAGCACTCGGCGCCTGGTCGGGA